GCCTAGCCCCGGCCGACTTTAGAGGGGGTTTCTTAGTTGTTCCCTTCCCCCTGCGCACGGGCTAATTAAGCGCGGTAATGATTTATCATGTGCTCTGCCGATGTGATTTAGTGCAACTTGTCTTGTCAAGCCTGCTCCAGCGTTTAGCACGCGGGTTAGCTGGGGCTTTCGGACAGCGCGTTAACGCCGTTTCCTTGGAATCCCGGGCTCCGGGTGGTTCGGGATCCTGAACCCCACACGGCTCATGGTGCAGATGGCTTCTGGGGACCTCGGCGCAGCTGGGCCGGCCGCACGGGGTTTCCCTACCGGTCTGCTCAGACAAAGTTTTGAGGAGTTCGCAGGAAACAAAATTGCACGAGTGCCGATGGACTTGGATTTTTCAGAGAACTGAATACTCTGACATAATTTGCTGTATTTTCACTTATCATTAAAATCTGAAATTCATGCGGCTCTGGTCAAAGCACCGCTGTTGACTGGGGTTTAACCAAAGGGTTCATCGCGATGAACAACATTAATATGAGGGTGAGGGCTTTGTTTGAGGTGTACTAAGTTGTACTGTTAATGTGTACGCCCAGCCTTGGTGCGAAAGAGGTGTTGTTATGCGTGTGGTTGAACTGCATAACTACGGTAGACCTTACGTGCTTCACTCACTGCTGGTGGGAGGGAAAAAACTGTAGCAGAGGGGAATACCATCTTTGTGAACCCCCTCCTGCTTAAAGGTCAAAACACTGAGGTCTCCAAAAACTCACCTTCAGACTGCCTTCCAATGCAAGGACGAAGAGCAGATGTAGGATTAGAAATTTGAACGTGTGTATGTATACGCATATATACAACCCACGTATACACAAAATTAACAAACTGTTCACGCTGGTAAGTGCACATCGTTGCGTCCCTGTTCACGTAGCAGTATTGAACAGAGAAACGATGGCGATGGGTACCAGTCTGCTGCTCCTGTTGCAGACTGGTTATACTGGACAGGCTCAGGCAGAAGAGCCATGGCAGCCGCATGCGGCTGCTGGGCGGCAGAAAGGAGCCTTGGGAGCAGCCATCGAACCTGAGTGACGTCTGTCCGAGTCCATTTGCACGTGCTGATTTATGTCCATGGGAGTCAACCCGTGCGTGGTTCCTGGCAGAAGTGTGGGGAAGTAAATGTAGGCCAGCGGCTGGCTGCTGCCAGTGGGGAGTGTGGTGACAGGGATTTGTTGGGGGATCCCAAATGATGTGGTTATCAAGCTGTCGGAGCAACTATGAAATCAGACGGTCTGCACTGAAGCGTCAGTCAGATGATACCTGTGTTTCCTGTCGGCCTTTCAACATGCAAAACTGTGGCTGTTCTACATTTGAGATAAACAGAGAACTTTCCTCCCTGCTGCTTTGTGCACCTGCATCCAGCTGTATGACGTGAGCTGCAGAATGCTGGGGGAGATACGTGTGAGAAAGACAGAGGGGACGTGACATTTTAATTGCCTTATTCACAATTAAATATTAAGTCTGTGGTTTTCAAATTATCTGCCTAGTGTCAGTGATCAACAAGATTGTGGTGAATCATCCGCAGCCAGTATGTGGAGCCTTTATTCTTAGGTACAAATATTCATATGCCACTTGTAGGAAATGTTGGGACTTGGTAGTGCTCGACAACCTAAAAAAGATGGAAATTGCTGTTCTTCATAAAGAACCAGAAAAACAGAAGGGAAGAAATTGAGGTACAGGAAAAGAAATACAATTCTAAAATACTTTTCAGGATGGATACTAAGCAAGAAAGATGCAGAGTCACAGATTCACAGTGACTGTGTTTCTGTGTGAGACCTAGAAAGCAGGAATCGATTAAAGGTACCACCCTGTACCCCATCACCTCTTGTAGAGTCATCCTGGGGTCTGTCAAGTCCTTATTTCAAATGCCTGTATTCTTGGAGCTTCTCCCGTTTTTTCGGTGCTTCCCTCTGGATTGTGAAAAGTAGATTACCAGTGTTGCGGTGTACCGTGGCCGTATCTTGGAGATGTAATAGAAGACAAGGGATGAAGCCCTTACCATAGCTGGTAGCCACCAAGGTTCAGTAGGGTATGGACTTTTTGTGCGAGTCTGCTTTCATCTACCTCGGGGCTCCTTTTATATTACAAGGGCAAAAGATTTTTTTTTTTTAAGTGCATCTAAGAATCCAGAAGGAGGAGCTGTGAGGCCTCCAGAATAAACTGACCATAAGTTGCAAGTTTTGCCACTGGGTTTGTTGGGTCTTTGCTGACAGTGGAGAACCAGTGAGACGGGGGATGCCTTCCCTGGAGCCTGTCTGTGGCTCCCAATACCTCCTCCTTTTTCAGCTCTCCTTTACAGGGTGGGCTTCTCTCTTTGCCCCAGCTCCCTTTGCATTTCCTTCGCGGCTCGGAGATACAGTTCCCGCTTGGATCCTCTATTTTTGGCCCTACTCTCCTGCAGTATCTTACATCAGCTTCTTGTATTTTCTCATATCTCTGACTCTCAACCTCTCTGCATTTGAATTGGGAAGCTTGTGGCAGTTTGTGGTGGCCCTTGCCATCAGGGCAGGCTTTACCCAGAACATTCAGTTAATACCATGTTTCTGGAGCAGGGATTTCGTATTTACCAAACAGGGCACATGTGACAAGAATATGGGGGTTTGGGTTGGGTTTTTTTCCTCTTCTGCGTATGTCTTCCTAAAGCTTGTAGTGCAGCGTGAACACACTCATCTGAAATTTCATAGACCTCTGCCTTTTTAAACCATTCAGCGTGTCTGTGTGCAAAGGCTGTGCTCAAGCCTTGTAGATCCGACCCCCCTGATGGTTTGCCACCCACCTGGACAAGGTGTGTGGTTTTCCTGAGGGGCACTCGGGCTGAGGGCGGCTCTACCTGGCATTGCGGAGAGGGGCTGGGCACCCCTCGGACACCCAGGACCTGCTGCTGATGGGGCTGCAGGAGGGAGAAGGGCTCTGTCCTGGAGCCCTGGGGCTGCTTCTGGCCCACTCCTGCCACCTTTTCTTCTTTTCTGTTTATTGTACTGTCTGGCATTGTCTTATGCTTCAGCTTATTGTTCTATTGTGTTGAGTAGATGTGTAGGAGTAGGTCCCCAAAGAAACAATTGTGCTAAATTTGAGTTGGTTAGAAAAGTGTCTGTGTGACTTTTGTGCTATTTTGGGGCTCAGGGTTTGTACTGTGCATTTGTGATTCATTTCTGGGACTGTGTTCTAAATGCACTGATTTCTATATTTGGGAGAAGGCAATCACCAAATATTGATTCCCATCACGTCTTGCTGGTTGCAGCTGAAAACATTGAATGTGTACTTGTAGTAAGTATAAGGACTTTTAGAATGAGAGTGACAAGAATGAAGTGAAAATCGTACTACGTAAATTAAAATGCTTTCCAGTTTTTGAAAACGTGATAGTTATCAACAGAAGAGATTCCGTGAGGAAATGGCAGGATGCTGTTAAATTACAGGAGTGGTTTGGTGAATCCTGACTTCTGTATGAGATTTGTTTCAGATTCTCTGTGCGCTTTTGGTCGGTACCCCACTATTATTTGTCAATTTAGCCTTTGGTGCAGAGGGGCTGACATTTAATGATTCACCTGCAAGTACTTCGAAGATTTATTTTTGTATCCTTTTGATGTTAATATAATTGAAGTTTATGATTCTATTGTGTACAAATAATTAATGTTTACCTCAAATACTTTTTTTATTACATTTTGTACTACAATCTGCTGTTACTAATTTTTGTTGTAGTGAGCCTGTTTACTGTTTGAATTATTGCTTTGAGGAAAAAATGGAGTACTGTCACTAGGAGAACAAAACTTAGCTTTTAGTAGATTTACTGGATTTTATCCTTTATTGCTGAATTGTCTTGTGATTTTTATTTTTCTTAATTTTTTTTTTTACTAAAAATAATTTAGAATTCTCATTTAAGTCTCTTTTGTTAGCTTAGAGTTGGGTTTCCTTGTTGCATGTAGTTTCTTATCTATGTGCTAGTAGCTCTGACGTTGTCTAGTTTGTCATGTTTTCTTGTGGAAATGTAATTTGACATAATGCATGTAATGGCTGCATAGTTGTGCTTCATCTTGGTCAGACAAAGAAGCAAAATATGAATTGCCGGACGGAAATATTTTGAGGATTATGCAGTGATAAAGTTTTCTAATTTCCAGCAGATCATGCAGCAAAAGAGCCAGTGGAGGATACAGATCCAAGTACTCTTTCCTTAACAATGGTACGTGTTTCTGGTCTCATAAGGTTCAAATCATTATAGCTCTCTACAGTTCTGTGATGCACAAGTGAGGTGAAACATTCAAGGATGTTAACTCGAACTGTGAGTATGTATAGGGTTTTGCTTATCTGTATGACTGTATAAACAAATTTTAATTTACTAACCTTGTGCAATTAAAGTGTAAATAAAAATGCTAGTAGGTACATAAAGCTGAACTGGATAGTGTCGGCTGAGCTGGCCATGGGATACCCTCTACAGGCTATGACAGTGCCATTTTTTAAATTTAAAGTAAACCCAACAACCGAGAAAGATTGATGCTGACATTCTTCTGTCTATATGAGTTGGAGGGCTAAGAAAATCCACCTAGGGCTTAAAATTTCAGTTGTACTAAGTTATAATTCCTTCCTGTACCTGTTTTGTCTGATGAGTTAAAAGTCATAGGAAGGTAAGACCAAACAGCAGGCACGGGCAAATCTAGGGAGAGACCAAGCAGCACTCTATAGTGCTTGCTGGCAGAGTAAACTCTTCAGGACAAGTTTTTGTGTTGGGATATTAAACATGCCAGTGTTATGCTGAGACAGGAGTATGTTAGGTAAAAGTAATATGAAACTCTGTGACGTCTTCTAATAAGAGTTTTTCTGTTTAATGTTGCTATGGATTATTTATGCTGGGGAAAAGTTACAGTGCTGTGTAGCCCAGAGAAGACTGTTGTCTAATGTAGTTATGTGAACGGATTGAAATGCGTTGGTTTATATAAAGGATGGCAAGTGAGCAAGCTGTTGCTGTGCCTTGGTGTTTTCTTCCCATTTTGAAGCTTTGCAACAGGGAGTCGGCAGGAAACTCTGAAAATTTCACTAGTACTTTAAATGCTGATCCTTCCCTGGGATCCATTATTGCACTCTATGTACATGCCTTGGTGTTAGCAGGTTTTAGTAGACAACATAAACTTTGTGATTGTTTTTGTGGACTGACTAAATTAGATGCTGTGTTTTGCTAAAGGGAGTTTTTCTCAAAGGTGAGGGGAAAGTCGCTATGTCTGAGACAAATGAAAGTTTGTTTATATCCATCCCCCCCTTAAATTAAGATGCCTTTAACCTGTTTGCTTGGTTATCAGCTTCTATCAAAGCCACACCTACTTTTACATAAGGGCAGGGGTCAGAGGGAAGATGGTAGATTTCAGGTATAATAGTAAATTATGCCTAGAAATCAGCAGCTATACCCTTAAACTCAATAATAATAGTTTTCTATTGCACCTTAATCAGCTTTTTAATTTTAGAGCAGAAGGGAAAAAATATGGTTTTCTTTCAGTACTGTAATGTTTTGGTAAAAGCTTGTATCTGCTAAAAGAGCTTTTGAAGTCATCTCTCTTCCTCCTGGTATGCATTACCTTTTCGACATTATCTTGCTACTTAAATGCAAAATTTCTTTCCTAATCTCTGCTTTTTCACTAAAAAGTAATACCTTTAAAAATAGTGCAGCAAAGAGCAGTCTCTATTACTTTTGCATGTGCTAATCGGTAGTGTTAGCAGCATCTCAGTTCCCACATAAGAAAAGTGTTACTATATCTGATTGTAGACGAATCAACTAGTAGCAATTTAAGAGATGCAACTATAATTATGCAATTTTATATACTCTTTCTCCAGCACAATTACACTTAAAATAACAAACATCTGTGTCTCTTGCCTTTTTCTGACAGACTGAAAAATATCCTGTCCAAGACACAGGAGTACCTAAAGGTAAGTATTGTGAATTCTGTCTATTCAGGTGCCATTGATCTGTGTTGTTATGTGCAATAAAACCATCGGTGTTACCCAACTGATTGAAATGCTCTTACTTTTTCCTCGGTGTTCATGTTTTAAATGTAGTGTGTTTTTAAGGTCAGTTTGGTGTGTGTATACATAATTTTTGAAATGTCCTTCCAAAGTTTAGTTTTGATCTAAAAGTCAGTCTAAAACTATCGCCAGAAGATCTTGGTTCTCAATCTGGAAGGAAAATACAGTGGTGCCATCGAAAACCACTGGTCAGAGAACAGATGGTAGAGAGGTGATAACGTTAGAAGGTGGCTTTGAAGACATTACCAGTGCCTTCAGGTTATCAGAAATAAAATCCAGAAATACCTTCCAGGTCTCTTGCTTCTGGTTGCGTTCTCAGCCCTGTAACCAATTAACTTGCCAGGCCATCTTTTACCTTCAGGAGGTATTAATGCCATCTGCTTGGGAACTTAATGTAGGTCCACTCTGCACAAGTTCTTGCCTCTCCTCACTGAAAATGGAGTGAGGGAGTGCAGGTTCTGTAGTGCACTGAAGTCAAATACTTGGATTACACAGTGTGAATATCCCTTTTATGGTTCCCTTGGCATGTGGGGTGGGCTTTTTTTGTCATCCCAGGCATTGCCGTAGGCTTTTGTCCAGGGCACGTGCTGGCAGGGGCTCAGTTGAGGAGCACTCTGCGGGTGGTGTGTTCTCTGTCCTGTGTTGCACAGCAGGTCTGCAGCGGGGACAGACCCAGGAAACTATGCAGAAGCAAGTTACAATGGAAACTTTTGCTGAGGAGCGTGAGCAATGTACCACTGAGGTTAAAGAAAGGTTAGAGATTGTTTTGGGGGCTTGAGGGAGCCAGCCAGAGGAAATGAGCATCTTCTCAGAAGTGCTGCTCAGTAGGGGAGGAGAGTGTGGGATGAAAACTGTTTGCGTTCGTAAACTACTTTCTGTTTATTTGCAGGCAGGTGGTTTGTTCCTTCAGAATTGTTTATTAACACTAAAGCAATTTCTCCGTAACATTCTTTTTCACGTCCTGGTTTTTATTTCACCCGTGATGTTAGGGCCTCCTCAAAATTAATTAGAGAAATTCCTAAATTTCAAATTTGTCAAAGTTGTTTGAAATCTGAGATTGCATGTTTTAAATGCATTTCATTTAAATAGGAAAGTGGGAGGAAGTAGAAATTTCCGCACTTTCTGTAGAACGGAAGTGAACTCAGTTTATTTTTAATTTTAGTTTCCGCTTCCTCTTGTGGAAAAAGATGTAAGTACTAATATAGCTTGACATTTCCTCCTTGGAGTTGAAAGCGATACAAATACCTCCTAATACTCTGTTCATTTCCATGATTTAAATTTTTTTTTTGAGAATGACTTTTCATAACTATTTCTATAAAAATACAGACTTAGAAAAATGGATCTGTGAGCTAAAAAGTGTTACAGATGTGCAGGTCTGATTCTGTGTAACACAAAATTATGTTTGCTTCAGATTTAATGTTCAAATAGACAGTATGTTGGCGGGGGGGGGACTGTTCTGTTGCTTTTATAGGTCAATGGATTAATGGACGATTTTGGGGCTGTAACTTATTAAAGTTCTTAGCACCCTCTACCGATTATGAGTTAAAGGTAAGTTGAGGGAACTTTTTATCTTGCAGTGCTAGGCGTAATGTTTACATCATGTTTTGATTATAATTCTATCTACATTCAAATACAGAACAAATTTCACACACAGTATTTCCACACAAATAAAGTGGAATTTTGATGCTCGTACTCTGCATTTTCAGCCAGAGTATTTTTTATTATTTTTTGTTTGGTTGGTGGTTGTTGTTGTCTCTGGTCCTACAGTCATAAATAATAAAGAATAAACATGATCCTTATTAAACAGTTACCCTGCTGGGGGTGGAATACTATTTGACTTTACGTTTCAACAGTCTTATAAAATCAGAAAAAGAGGATCATCATGGTTTTATTTTTTTTTTTCCCTTGCAAGTGTAAGGATGAATTCTTTGATTTAGATCAATTTCTTGAGTGGGATAAGGAACTATGTCTTCTTTCTGTTATCTGACAATTCATAAAGGTAATAGCTGTTTGTCAATGAGATCTTACCGCTAAACAAACAGCATATGGAAATGTATCAGCACTACAAGCGTAGCCACCACCATGGAGAGTTCTTGTGTGTAAAAATGTGTACAATATAACCTCTTTTAAGCGCGTGTTAATGGTCGGTCAGCACCTGACCCAGGGGCATTATGCAAATGGTTTGATGATGAGGACCTTATTAATCATGCGGAGTGAAATGTGTCTGTGTGCACAAGGTTCGCAAAGGGCTTTTGTGTCCCTTGTACCCCATTTTGAGGACTGAAGTGAAGCTTGAAAGGTAAATAGAGTTTGTGCTGTACTGGGGAATGTTGTGCCTTTCAGGGGACTGCTAGGGCAGTTGATAAACACACTTTGAAATGGATTATTTCAGTGCTTCAGAAAACTCCTGCATAGTAGCGATAAGTAGGATGAGCCTAATTCACAAAGGGGCAGAATGAAAGGTAAATATTTGTGCAGTACGTATTTCAACAATTATCGTGTGATGAGAAAAGCAAGGCAAAAATGATAGTGACTTGTGACAGTCATCTTCAGCCTACTTTGGTTTATTGGTTCAGTTAATATTCTCTGGTCAGCTTTCTGAAAGAACAACTTTGACACTTGCTTCAAAAATAGTGTGGTCTTGGTTTAAAAAACAACTGCTACACTAATATCTAATCTCTGCAAGGATTATTTTGCTTTGCACAGTCATGCTCTGTATGATTGTTACCATTTCTGCCAATTTAATATTTTGGACTTTTAATCCAGCATCATGATACGGAGTTCAATTGTGTATGCTAGACACCTATATTTCATGTTGATAGTCTTACTATTTAAATTTGTATTTGTGTGGAAGACCAATGTTTCACAGTCTTTGTCTTAGATGAGGAATACCTAACAGATCAAGTTACATTGGAAATTGCATCTGTGAACATCAAGACCCTTACGTCAGATTCTGGCCTAATCCAACAGGTAAGAAAAATAATACCTGAAAGTGAACTAAGTTATTGCTGTTTATTAAATCAGTATGTTAACAAATAAATATATTTTCGGACTATATCTGGAGAGCAGAGAATTACTCGGTAAAACAGACTAGAAATAGGCTCTCTTTTCAAGAGTTGAATGAAGTGAGCTTTTGTGGAGAAGAGCAAAAGAAAGGTTATTTAATCAGTAATGTGTACTTTGTAGTTTAAATAGGTTTTGATTAGTGCGTAGATGCTCTGAAGAAGAGCCGACAAGGAGTTAAGGCTTTGTCATGCATGCTCTCCCTCTTTCCTGCTGGAAATAGAGCCAGGACAGAGAAGAAGTGAAGAAGTAAGGAATCCTAGGGATTCCTAGGGAGTTTTGGACTCCCTTGTGTTTTGCCCTTAGGGGCTATGACTTTGGGACACTGCTCTTCTGTAGTGGAAACACTCTCCACTGTTTGTGAAATCTTACATGACCATAGGGTGGGCAATGCCGAGTGACCCCCATGCTCCATGGTTAACCGTCTTTCAAGTGAATGTTACTTGCTGAGTTTCAAATCGGTTCTCTTTGGATTAAGCAGAAATCTTGGAGAAGAGCGTTTTCCAGTGAGACGAAGAATTAAAAGGTGTTCCTTATTCCAGAGTCCCAGTTGATTTTCATCAGAAACAAACATGGGGTTGGTATGCATTTCACAGATGATGGAGGTAATGGTCTCATTCCCATCATCAAGAAGAGAGCATTTATTGCCAGCTTAGAATCACTATAAAGATATTTCTGTGTATTAGGGTGTTAATGGTTCTACAGAGCTGAAAAACTGTCTGCTTATTTTCAGACGGTGCGTAGGTTTATGGCTTTTATTAGACATGTAGAGGTTGATTGGATTTTAGTTGTGGGCAAAAAATATTCTTGCTTAATGCCTTCATTTCATGGCCAGTAACACTACATTGTCTTATTGCGATTATATTACAAGAAAATGATCTTGAATAAACCTGAGTGCATCTGACTTGATAAAAGTGGATAACTGATCAGTAAAAATGTGAATTTTGAAAACAAACGAACGGCACAGGTAAGTATCCCTGTTTGTACCTTTTGCAGTACTGGCCACTCTTGTTATTTTTTTATCATGAGACATGAGTATAATGACATCTCTTAAAGACGTTTAGGTACTAGCCTTCACAATACGGTTAGAACTTTCATGAATTGTGTGGGAAATGTTACTGAAGCTCAGGACAGCAATTTACCTATTGCAAACTAAGGGAACAATAGCCACTTTTGCTTTTTTTTTTCCCCCTTTTGTTTTTATTTACTTGCTTGTTTCTTTTGAAACAGATCTTTGGGGAGGCTGAATTGTGATGGGCAGCTCCTTGTTCTCCCAGCGTGTTACCCCTCTGGGGATTTGCTCCTCAAGGCTCAGTAATAACGTTCTACCTTTTTAAGGAATTTGTGGGAATGGAGACAATGACTATAGTCAGGATCTCCAGATTTAATTTTTCTTAAACTTTGGGTGCTCACGTGTTGCCTTGAAGGCCAAGTTCATCTTTAAAAAGCTGTGTCCAGAGAAAGTGTACATGCTGCCAGTGGAAAAGTAAACTACTAGAAGATAGCGGCAAGGATTATTCTGTTGCAAGTGGCACGTGCAGCGTTAGATCTCTCTTGAGCAGAAAGCAGACATTTTGTGAGGTGAATTGATGTTGCATGCGTGATCTTGCAGTTTTCAGGGAGTAAAGAAATGCTGAAAACAGCATGCAAATTTTTCCTTTCCTAACAAAGTCTTTGAATATTTTGGAGATAGTTTACCTTCTTTATAATTGAACTGTGAATGTATGCATGTTCACCACATCAACTGCAACTGCCTATATTCTGGTTTTAGTGGATTTCTTAGTAAAGAAGGTGTAGCAGGTAGGAATAGAGTATTTTATTACACTATATGGTTACCCAGTTGACTTCTGTTTCCATGCACAGCCTGCAAAATATTAAGAAGCCTGCTGTGATAGTTTTGGAAGAATGATGCAATACAAAAAATCAACAATACTTTATTGCAGCTATCTAAGGGGAAAATCCCCTTCTGCTTTCATCTTTAAATCCTCAACAGAAGAAAGCTATTTCATCTGGCTCCACACCCGCATAGTTAAAGTAAGGGCAGCTGCAGTTTCCCGCAGACCTAGTATCAAGGTGCTGTACTTCCAGTTTTCAGATGTTGTGCTCTAAATAGTAGAATTGAAATGTTACAATGTGTTTTGCAGTCTCAAGCTGTTAAATAATTTCATTATGTTTAATTAGCACGCAAAAAAAGCCACTGAGGGAATGTTTACTTCAAACAGGAGGAGGGTTAGACGTGAGCCAGCATAAATGTTCAAGTCCACCTGTTGTCTAGAAAAGCTTCCTATGTATGTGAAGAAGTTTGTTTAAAAAAAAAAAAAAAAAGCAGCTCCACTTTTCCTAGATCAATGAAACAATCCCTTACTGCCACACGTTACAGGCAAAAGTCTTGTTTTTTTCATTACAAAGCATTTAAAAAATCTTTTTAATCTGAATTGCTGAACAGCTGTTGAGGGTTTAAGAACAAATTATTCAAAAGATGTAACCCCATAGCATATCATTAATGAAGATGACATCGTTTAGTGGATACAACCAACACGGTAGTTTTGTGAGCCAAATCTCATGAAAATGCTGCCTGAAAAGACTGTATGTTGTCAGTAATTCCTCAAAACCAGGTATATTCTCTGTCTGACTTTACAAGTAGCTCGGGATTCTTCTAAGTAATCTCCTGCCACTTGTAAATTAGCCAAATAGTTATTCTGGTGTTCAAATGCATTGTTTTGTTTTGATTTATGTTGTTTTCTGCTTTGCAGCCAGAAGACAAAGACACACAAAACCATACTGACAAATCACTTTCAGGTAATACATGTGAGTTTTACCATTCTACATATTTTATTCCTAGATTTTCTTTGAAAGTACTTTATTAAAAACTGCTGTTTGTCATAACCAAGAACTGCCTGGATAATCAATGCTTGTGGAGCTCATTTCATCACCAGTGTCATTTACAGCTTCCTCTTTGTTCTAAGGGGGTGGTGATCAAAAAGGCAGACCATACAAAATGTCCAAGTTGGGCTTTCCAAATAAATCTAGTACATCCACCGTTGGAAGAAATCTGTGAACAGCTATTGGGAGAGAACAGAAGCTGGCAGTAGGCTGGGGGGGCTTATCCCGTAATGGTATGAGCTCTGCTGGGGGTGGTGTGTGTGTGAATGTTAATCTAACAGTGAGCAACTGAGATTTCCTGTTAGTAAAGAAGCTTGTCCTATCGTGTAGCATTAGGGTCATGCAATTAGGTGTGTAGGTCATCATTTGCTCATCAGTATCTAACACAGGGCATCTTAGAAAAGCAGGATTCTTTATAATGCTTTTGATAGTTTGCACGTGGTATAGCACAAGCAGCAGGTTGGTTTAGTTTTGTTTACCTGTAACTATGCCCTGTGTTTTCTTTACTCCTTCTTCCCTGCTTCTATTAGAGGATAAAACTTAACTCTGGCATCCTTGCAAAGCAAAATAAGATGAAATTCAGATAGGGTGCTCTCCTGCCCTTTGAGCTTAGCCAGAACGTCGATATTCATTTTGCTGTGTTTATATAACTAAATCTTGGTATGAGTGAAGCAAGCAAGTTTTGTCTGACTGCAGCAAGAGTTTAGGGTCCACAAGAAGAACAGAATGGTTAACGTACATATTTCTGTAGAGAACAGCTGCAAAGCCTGTGAAATACCTGTGAGCAAAGATGTCACCAGAACGTTTCCCCTCAACAGGGAATCCAAGCGTCTGTATGAAGTTATGTGTCTGCAGCAGTGTTGTTGCTGCACGTCCTAACTTGTTGAAAACTTTAGAAGTTGTCTTTGACCTGCTAAAAAAGCAAGCTGATGAGCAATGTTACAAAAATAACAACAGCCTCTTCTTCCCTTAAAAACAAAAACCAAAGTGCCTGCAGAAGCTACATTCAGCTCACAATTTGACAATCTTTCTGGAATTTTCACACAATCTGACAATAACTACTGCAAATGAAAAAAAAAATAAC